TATTTGATACTTTACCACAACATATCAATTGGTACTATTTGATACTTTACCCTACATATCAATTGGTACTATGTGGTACTATACCATAACATATCAATTGATACTATTTGATACTTTACCATAACATATCAATTGGTACTATTTGATACTTTACCATAGCATATCAATTGATACTATTTGATACTTTACCATAACATATCAATTGGTACTATTTGATACTGTACCATAACATATCAATTGGTACTATTTGATACTTTACCATAACATATCAATTGGTACTATTTGGTACTATACCATAACATATCAATTGGTACTATGTGATACTATACCATAACATATCAATTGATACTATTTGGTACTATACCATAACATATCAATTGATACTATTTGGTACTATACCATAACATATCAATTGATACTATTTGGTACTATACCATAACATATCAATTGATACTATTTGGTACTAGACCATAACATATCAATTGATACTATTTGGTACTATACCATAACATATCAATTGGTACTATTTGGTACTGTACCATAACATATCAATTGGTACTATTTGGTACTGTACCATAACACATCAATTGATACTATTTGGTACTTTACCATAACATATCAATTGGTACTATGTGGTACTTTACCACAACATATCAATTGGTACTATTTGATACTATACCATAACACATCAATTGATACTATTTGGTACTTTACCATAACATATCAATTGATACTATTTGGTACTTTACCATAACATATCAATTGATACTTTGTGGTACTATACCATAACATATCAATTGATACTATTTGGTACTATACCATAACACATCAATTGATACTATTTGGTACTAGACCATAACATATCAATTGATACTATGTGGTACTTTACCATAACATATCAATTAGTACTGTACCATAACATATCAATTGGTACTATTTGGTACTGTACCATAACACATCAATTGATACTATTAGGTACTTTACCATAACATATCAATTGGTACTATTTGGTACTATACCATAACATATCAATTGGTACTATGTGGCACTATACCATAACATATCAATTGATACTATTTGGTACTATACCATAACATATCAATTGGTACTATGTGGCACTATACCATAACATATCAATTGGTACTATATGGTACTATACCATAACATATCAATTGGTACTATTTGGTACTATACCATAACATATCAATTGGTACCACAACATATCAATTGGTACTATTTGATACTTTACCATAACATATCAATTGGTACTATTTGGTACTATACCATCAATTGTGACTATATCACAAGATATCAATTGTGACTATATCACAAGATATCAATTGGTACTATACCATAACATATCAATTGAGATTATATCACAAGATATCTGCATTTAATCAACCTCTCATTAAAAGGCAGAGTTACATCAATATTTTGAATTTACATCAATTATTGAGTGTGCAGATTATTTGATTGGTTGAATAATCTAGTGACCTTGAAATTGATGTCTAGTGCAATTCTGTCAGAACAGAAATTAAATTCATGATTAGTATGTGAAGTCAGCTTTTAGGCTATCATAGTATTCACATAATACTGCTGAAAATTTAGTGCTTTTAAAGATGGGTTTCCTTGTTTTTTAGTGTCAAATAAAGCAAACTATTTGATTAATTGATGTTTCTAATGAATTATGCACATGTGAGACAAACTGGTATTTTTCCAGGTCATTAAAACACCTCTACTTTCTATTCATATAAGTATTAGCATTTTCATTTTCATAAATGAAAATAAGGGAACCCATCTTAAAGTGGGAGTAGATGCCAATTTCCTGCAGGCAAAACTGTACAGTAAAAACTGTATGTTTTGGTGAAAAAATGTTGAAAACTGGACTTTTTTGTAAGAAGTTATTAGCAGATGAAGTTCATGAAACAAGACTTACTCCCACTATTGAAAAGCCAAGAATAGTTTTACAATTTTAAATCAAAAATTGACAATTTGTGTGAACCAATGAAAGGAGAAAGACTTCTTTCTTTAGCTAGTGCATACTTCCCCTTTAAAGATGGGTTTCCTTATTTTTTAGTGTCAAATTAAGCAAACTATTTGATTAATTGGTGTTTCTAATGAATGATCATGTATTCTTAATCATATCATTATGTTCTTATTGCATATAATTAAATGTTTTAACAAATCATAAATGTCCATGTATTTACAGTCTGTATAAACAAAAAAAAACTTTTTGACCTTTCTTGATCGGTCACTCATTGGAATTCTGTTATTAATTCTCTTCTAATTTAGCTAATCATGAATTAATTATGGACATGTGAGACAAACACCTCTACTTTCTATTCATATAAGTATTAGCATTATATTTCATAAATAAAAATAAGGGAACCCATCTTTAAGTAAATTTACCACTCAGATGACCTTGAGATTGTAAGACTAAAATGATATCTGTTTACCTGTTTAAGTACTAATATAATCCATCTAGGACATCGGTACTATCAAATACTAACTAGATTTTATTGACCTAGTAATTTAACAGTCAGCTCTAGTCCAATGTCGGTTGTAGTTTACCATCCAAACTAGTTTCATGGAAAAACGACATCATAATACCTTAATTGATGACAAAACTTAGAATGTTACGTCAAAATACATATCTTAACTCAATTCTTACTCATAGATTTCACAATATCGGACCACTTACCCGCCATTTTCCTTCCGAGAATAAGAAATGATTTACGTCAGTTGATGGAATATCGACAAATATTTCAATATACTAGATTCTGATTTACCAATACTTTCAAAAATAACCCTGTAGAATCCTCATAAACTCAATATATCGGTATTCCTGAAAGTCACAGAATTATTCCTGCCACAATGCCAGAGTGTGAATATAGCTAAATTCCTATACAACTGGAATAAATTGGATTTTTACTCCGAATTCTAAATTCATCAATGAAAAGATGGTCTAATGGAGTACTACTATATATGGAAAACCTGTGCAAGTATCACCATGGCTTCAAGGCAGAAATCAATAGTAAGGTATAATCTATGGCAGCCATCTTGAATAATATTGATTTTTGTGTGAAGCAATGATGGGGTATAGTAATTGGTTAGAAATACAATATTACAAGTTTGAACTCTCGGGCTTTACATCTAAATAGGTTTCTAAATAGGTTTCTAGGTTAATTCTGCAAATGCAACCTAATTTTCACTTTCGTGAGGGCCTAGGTTTGCTGCGAAAACCGCCATAATTTCGATATGTCTTGGGAGTCTTCTTGTTGCCTTTTCTCAAAATGTGTGGGCGCTAATTAGACCAAGCTCCTATACATTTTATAGTAGCCTTCACTTATTGATGTATATGTAGAGTGAATCGTCCAGACCTCTATTGCCAATCAATAACTTTGGTCTTCTTAGTTTAGTTGTCAGTAAATCGAATTCTACTGATTATTTGTACGTGAACTGGAGTGTGTGGACTATTATATCACTTTCAAAATAGCCATAAAAATGATTTAGCATTAATAAAAAAAAAAGTTTTATAATTTTACATTTAATCTAGACACTTTCCAAACCAATGAAATTTCAACAAAATTATTCCCCAATTTTGGATGAAAAAGATAGTTTGTGCACATTTTAGCAATGCCATGTCATGCCAAGAACATCAGTACTATATCACAAGATATCAATTGGTACTATACCAGAACATATCAATTGGTACTATATCACAATATATCAATTGGTATTATAACCATAACATATCAATTGGTACTATACCATAACATATCAATTGTGACTATATCACAAGATATCAATTGTGACTATATCACAAGATATCAATTGTGACTATATCACAAGATATCAATTGGTATTATACCATAACATATCAATTGTGACTATATCACAAGATATCAATTGGTACTATACCATAACATATCAATTGCGACTATATCACAAGATATCAATTGTGACTATATCACAAGATATCAATTGTGACTATATCACAAGATATCAATTGTGACTATATCACAAGATATCAATTGTGACTATATCACAAGATATCAATTGGTATTATACCACAACATATCAATTGGTACTATAACCACAACATATCAATTGTGACTATAACCACAACATATCAATTGGTACTATAACCACAACATATCAATTGGTACTATAACCACAACATATCAATTGGTACTATTTGGTACTATACCCAACACATCAATTGTGACTATATCACAAGATATCAATTGGTACTATAACCATAACATATCAATTGGTACTAAACCACCACATATCAATTGTGACTATTTCACAACATATCAATTGTGACTATTTTAGCAATGCCATGTCATGCCAAGAGTATCAGTACTACTTTTAAATGGAGGATCCCCACCATTTTCAATTGCTTACCATTGCCAAACATTATCAATTGCTAACCAATATCAATTGCTAACCAATATCAATTGCATAACATTATCAATTGCTAACCATTATCAATTGCACAACATTATCAATTGCTAAACATTATCAATTGCATTATCAATTGCTAACCATTATCAATTGCATAACATTATC